AAATTCTGAGACTCTTTTCTGGCCTGCCTGGCCTTTGGAAGCAGAAACTCCAAAGAGCTCTGGGTCATGAAGGCGAGTACCAATGTGCCGCGTTCCCCAGTACCTGTCCACTGCTGTTCCTGCCAGCTCGTGAGCCACGTTTATAATTTATGGATCCTTTCCAATGACATGCTTTCTGAGATCTTGTTTCAGCTCTATTCCTTTATTCTTCCCCTTCCCACCGCCATGTCATTCCCTCAGGAGAATCCATCAGTTCTCCTTTGTGCCTACCCCCACATGACTCTGAGGCCCTGGATACCCAGTCTGTAGGAACCTCATGCAAGATGCTGGAATCTGGTTCATGTGGCAACAGCTGCTTGGGGTGTTGGTCCTGAGGATCTGCATTTTTTACAAAATCTTCAGATAATTCTGATGCCGATAAAGTGGGGGACTTTGCATTTTACAGGTCCACTGTGAGAGCCGGCCCCTCTGGTTTCCCATGAGCTCCACTGCCCTGCTTGGTCTACATGGGAGACTTAGGAAGAAGATGGAGCTAAATGGCAAGGATTTCTGCAGCTAAGCCTGCCAGGTCTGGCCTAATGTGTTTCAGTATCCCCACCACCATCACTAGCTGTGAACAGAGTCTGCTCTGCCCAGACCAAAGAAGACCTGTCCAATGAACTCAAAACAGACTCTCCCTCTGTGACTTCCAGGTAAGGAAGAAACTAAGGAGATTCACCTTACCAACAGATGTCTGCTTGGAGCATTACTTGCTTTAAAAAGGTGGGGGGGTGGTGCTGAAACAACACCAAAGGTTGTGAAATGAGCCTCCTCCTTTTGGCAACCTCTGTGGTCCCAGCTTTCTCATCTCCTACTGCTCAAGAGTCTACAAGCTGAGATCTTTGGACTAAAGATCGCCAGCAATATTACTTGGTCACCTGGTGAAGATTTCCCCCACTGCTGGGTGAAGGCATAGGTCTGAGGAGTCCTCTTGGGCTGCCTGGGCCTCTATACTGGACATTCAACACACAGAGTTGCAGGCCCACTAAGGATTTCCAGCAACGGCATGACCCTGGTGACCTTGAGCCCCTGACCCCTGAGAACTTCTGATAGTCAAAGAGCACCCCCACCCCGCTTTCTCCTCATCAGGGTCTCAGGATTATTCTGGGCATTGTGTCCTTTCTAGCAGCTTTTCAGTTCAAGGGTTCCTAGGGGCACTGTTGGTTTGTGCTTAGCACTCTGAAGATCTGCCACCTCGGAGGTGGGCAAGCAGCTGTTTAAACTACCACCTTAAGACTGGCAGAAGCCACAGAACACTGGGAAGGAGAGAGGTGAAAGGTTAGGAAGGCCGTGTTGGGAAGGCGGCCAGGGACAGACCGACAACGCGAACTCCCAAAGCTGGCCCGAGGTGAAGTGCGTTCAACTTGGGAGTCCTGGGCCGGTTTCTACTTTCAAAGGAGAAAGTCTTTTGCCCCAACTTTTCCCACTGGATTGGAAGCGCCTTTTGACTTAGAATGTGAAGGAGCCTCCAAAGCCTCTTGGGGTGCCCGATGGGTCAAGGAGGACTTGCCTAACCCCACTCCGTTCTTCCTGCGGACAGATGGCCAATCACTCTAGCATCCCGCTCACCAGCCGATCTTATGACTTGGATCATTGGGCCTCAAGGTCATCCCATCCTAGAAATGCTTCCTGGGTTCACATTCTCACAGCTGGTTGCGTGATTCCCAGTTTTATGACTCAGGTAAGAAATGCGACCATGAGAGGAATGAGGAGTACAGAGGCAGGAGCCTGGACCTCTTAGCATCAGCCCCTGCTTCCTGAGGAGCGACGAGGGAAAGAAGGCAGCATCTCCTGTGTCCAGTGACGTGTGGGCCATGAATTCTCACAAAGACGCTCTCAGGTAAGGAGCTGGTGGGAAATGCTTTGCTTTCTCTTCAGCTTTGTCCTTGAGGCATTGGCCCATGGAGGGCCTAGAACCCCGTATGTTGCACTGGAGGAGGGGGAAGGAGCAGAGCAAGGTGCAAATTAGAATGTATGAAAGGAGCCCATTTTGGTGAAACAATTACAACATCTGAATATATTAGATTACCTGTATACATGTGCATCAAGGAGTAGATGTGTGTGTTTGTATGTGTATGATTGCTTAAGCCAGGATAATAAGGTAGACTACTCATGAGACTGTTAGAATTATCTTGACACACTTCTGCAACTATGACAATGAGTGGACAGTGAGAACATGCAGGAAGGACAGTGTTTCAAGTAATGAAATGTATTTCCATTCTGCAGTTGTATATTAGTATCTATAATGCATACTATAATTTCACCAATTATTCAAAATCATTAAGTGTAAATAGGAGTTGAAATAAGAAGAACCCAAAAGATAGTAGTAGCTGTATCTGCTGACTCACAGAAATTCATCATAGATTGTCAAGTGAAAAATGGTGCAAAGCATTGTGGGTGGAGTGTAACCCAATTTCTAAAAAAGCCAAGAAACCAACAGATCTCCCTGTGTACCTGGGACTGTATGTATGTGTCTGTCTTACTCCATTGGGGCTGCCGGAACCAAATACCACAGCCTAGGTGGCTGATACACAATAGACTTACTTTTCGTGGTCCTGGAGGCTGGAAGTCCAAGATCAGGGTGCCAGCATGGACACCTGAGGGCCCTATTGGGGTCACACTCTTGTATCCTCACATGGTGGAAGGGATTAGGGAACTCTGTGGGGTCTCGTTTATAGGGGCACTAATCCCATTCCTGGGGGCACCACCCTCAGGACCCAATCACCTCCCAAAGCCCCACCTCCTAACTCCATCACATTGGGGGTTAGGATTCCAACAGTGAATTTTGGGGGGACAGAAACATTAAGAGAAGAGCAGTCTCTGAGCACAGAGAAATGTATGAAGGATACACATATGTCTGTCTTTTAACATTGGACACTTTGGGAGAGGAGTGCAATTTACATATAAGAGGATGATTCTGATTATACTTTCAAGTGATAACATTTTGTAGGTGTATGTGTTATAATTAAGAATATAAGACCTTTCTAGGTTAGAACATCACAGAGACATATTTTTTAAAAACTTTGCATTTTTACGAATAGGGATAAGCCTATCTTTAAGGTCGGATTCAAAGATTGGAACCGTTGAATGAAGACACTTCTACAGCTGTACAGATGTCAGACCCAGCAGAGCTCTTGCTTGCTAGTTGGAGACAATGACCTCTTCTGCTCTCTACACCTAGAAATGACCAAAGTATTCTGTGAGGGTTAGAGCATGCTTCCTCAAACATGGACTGAATGCACATGTCTACTGGTAAGGAAGAAGGCTGGATACCACGTGCACTTCATTAAGTAACACGTGGACGCTGCAAGATTCTCTTTCTCTGATATGTGCTCCCACCTTCCTCCTCAAATCGTTCTAATGGAAAACTCATCCTGGTGCATTCTAGGCCATTGTCCAAGACTACACATAGATGTAGTTAACTGGGATTTGGGAACCTATAGGAAAAAAAAGATTTTGGACAAAAGATCTTGTGGACAGTGGAAAATCCCAGCCAGCCTCTGCTCACACTGGGATTGCCAGACCGCTCCCACTCTCGTATCTCTGAGAATCACAGGATTTCCTTTATCATCTGCAGCACCAGGTAGAATTGATCCTGCCCCAAAGCCCTGGCTTCCCTCCACTTCAGACACTGCCACTCTCAGGAGCCATCTCTGTCCCTCAGAGAAGTGCAGACAGGGCAGCCTGTGGATGGATGTGCCAGGTCTGGAGGCCCTGCCCACACCTCCTGTGCCCTGAGGGTCCCTGTGTCACTCTGCATCTCATCTCCCAGGGACAGGAACACACCCTGACTCCCCCAGGGCTTCCTAGGCCCTCGGACTTGAAGCCCTGATACTGGTTTCTCTGCCCACCATGGAGTCTGGGCATGAACCTGACCCTTCCCATCCTCACCTCGGATCACCTGGGCCTTCGTTATAATTCCAGGTTCACAGGCAACGTCCTCTCTTTAGCTGCTTTATCCTCAGCCAGGTATTTTCTTACAGTTCTCTGATCTCAGGTCAGGTTATACAACAGAAGAAAGGAAGAAAGAACAGGCAAGTGTCAAGGATGTGTCACGACCAGAGGGTAAAACCTGTTCTAAAGGGACGACCAAGTTTCTAAGCTGCTTCCCTTGCACCCTAGGAGATGCTCTGCAGGACTTCACTCCCAGTTACAGGATCTCCTGGTATGCAGAAAAGGACGGGTCAGCTGCCACCTCCACCACCACCCCCCCCC